TGAAGGTGTATTGGATGGATCCGCATGCCCAAGACGTAGCTGCTAAGTGTTCGGGCGTTCGAAACCGGGTCGATCCTGACGGTCGAAAGTTAGTGACCCCGCACACTTCTGGCCAAATACCATTTTTGGGAAGACGTCTGATGATGGTAAGTAATTTTAATTATTTACAATTATATAATATTTTTATATATTTACTAATGTTTAATTTTAACTTTTTTTGTAGGCCGAGGAGAACGAAGGAGAGCTTCCTCCAATGACGAAGCTCTTCGAGATCACTCACCAGAAGAAGATGCTCGGTCCGAGGAGATCTACAACGCCACTATGCAGAGGATCGCCGAGCGGGAAATCCAGGTCACCTTTGACGGTACTATCCAAGTACCTTTGACCGTTCTCAAGCAAGACAAGATCTTTGAGTAGGTATGATTTCAATATTTTTTTAATTTAATTACTATATATATACTTATATATGATCTAACGTTTTGACTTTTATTTATAGGTTGCTCCGAAGAAGAAGGACTGCACCTTAGAAATGGGCTCTATTAGAGATTGCCCCGTCGCCTCGTCTTTGGGATGCCGCACGCACGAGAATCCGATTCAGCTGCGACAGGAGCTTGCTACGGCCAATGCAGAGATTACCAGTTTACGGTATGAGCAAGTGGCCCAGAAGCAGGAGCTCTTCGAGATGAACAGCCTCTTCGACATCATAGCGGCAGCGGTTCCGCAGTTGACCACCACAATCCGAGAGAGGCAACGGCGGGCATGGATTCTTGGAGGGAGTTCTTCTGACCAGCAGACGACACCGGGTCAGACTTCAGATCCCGTAGTTCAGACAGGAAACGACGGTACAACGGCTATGGGCGAACATGACGGAAAGCCTCCTCGAGACGTCGATCTCAACCTCGACGATTATGAAATAACTTTGTAGATTTAGTTTTATTTTCAAAACATTTTGTATTTAATTTTATATTTTTATATATTAATTATTTTCGAATTTAAATTTTAAATTATAATTTTGTTTTATTTAATATTCATTTATTAATTAATTTTTAATATTAATTTATTAATTAAAAATCAAATTATCATTAATATTTTCTTTATTATTCGACGTAAACTCGTCGTAAGTTTATGTCGAATTTACGACAAATATTTTACGACGAATTAACGTCGACATGTTTTAATGTTGATATTTTACGACGAAGTTACGTCGATTTCTAATAAATTAAATTGTTTTTGACGAAACAGATTGTCTTGTAATCGTTGTAAATTCGATGTAACATTATATCGATTTTACGTCGATGTTGTGTTGAAATACATTCGTCGTACTTGCGTTGGAAAGATTACGTCGCATTTATGACGATTTTGTTCCAGTGAAATTACGACGATTTTTGGGAGTTGGAAAATTTACGTTGATTTTACGACGATTTCTCTTTTACGACGTTTGTTTTACGACGATTTTTGTTTCATCGCTAATTCGACGCAAATGAGCCATTACGTCGATTTTATGTCGATATGTTCCGACGTAAAAGACCTTCTTTCTTGTAGTGAGAGATAGACAAGGCTTTCCGAAAGCATCTTTTTCTGTCTAAAGTATCAAACTTCATTGGAAAATTTTTCAACAATATGTAATAACAAATGTTTGTTCATCCTAAAGTGCCGCCGGAAGAAATTAGCAGGATATGTTGCAGTTTCACTGAAATAATCGTTCCATAACCAGTTGTGGCCTTCTTTGCGATTTCTTTCGATAAAAGCCCTTTTTTCTTGATTTGGTTGTCTCCTGATTTCCTCCGTAATCATTGCAGAGATTCTCGAAAGTTTGATCGAACAATTGATCAAACGTTTGATCGAAAACCTCATCAAATAATCCATTAAAATCATTACTGGAAGAAGAAGCCATTAATGATTTTGGGAACTTGGTTTGGTAAAGTAAAAAAAGCTTGTTTTGATATCAAAGAAGAAATACAAACAATGTTTGTTTTGGTAGTCAAAGGGGAAGCTTGTTCTGATATCAAAGAAGAAATACAAAACAATGTTTATTTTGGTTTTGAAACAAGAAATAGAAAACAATGTCTCGGTATCTAAGAAGAAGCTTGTTTGATATGAACGAAGAAACATAAAACAATAGCTCAATACATATAGACGAGTGAACCTTTACAAGTGGTATGAATTATACACAATTGTTCACATAAATTATAATATATATTTTCGGACAAAAAAATTAGAATGAGATTTTTTTTTCTTTTTGGTTACAACACACACATAGCAAGGGTTTTTGGACACAATGATTGCTTTGTTGCCTTCACCATTTATATGCAACACCATTTACTTAATAAAGAGAAACAAAAAATAGAAACTCATGTATGTATAATCTTTTATTTTGTTTTATTTTGTTTAGATGTGAAATTTATTGATAGAATAGTAAAAAATATATCAGTTCAATTGAAAAAGAACTAGAATGGATCGCAAAAATACAATTACATTGATAAAAGAGAGGAAAAGATACCATTACAAAGCTAAGCTAATAATGGCTATGGATGAAGCACGAAGGCGTCCGTAATTGTTGTCTTCCTTGTGATGGAATGAAATTATGCACTCCAGACCACACTTGTCGAACCAGGTAGCTCGTGGGGTGGTTATCTTGTTGATGTTGACGTCTATTTTTTATTTTTTTTAATCTCAAAACATAGTATAGATATTGGAAAACAAGTTTTATCAGAGTTTGGAACTGTTGGGAATTCATATGGTGTATTAATTATCTTTTTCTGCTAAAAATAGCTGAAAATAACCAATGTGCTACAGCGCCTTTCGGTCCTTCATGCTAAGATGGATAACCTCTTATGGATTATGACATGTTTGAGAGAAAGTCTGATGATCTCGGTTCACTTTCACACCGACTGTTTGGATCTTGTGAATATGTCTGAATCTCCAGCAGATTGGCTGTCTTTTATGACAGACTTATAATCATTTTGTATCCTCTGAGAAAACTATTCGGAATTCATTGTATCTTATATCCCAAGAAGTCTAAATGTTCGGGCGGATAGTCTTACAAAAGGAGTTCGAACAAGAAGTTTAATATTTTCCCAAATCAGTTATACCAAACCGGTCGAGGATGGTTCCTGGACCATTCTGCTGACTAGCCACATGTGATGTAATAGTTGAGTAAAAAAAAACAATGTGCTACAGCGAATCTTGTTATATATAGTGTATAGTGTATATTGCTGTCCGGTCTAGATTAAGCTTACGAACAAACAAGTGATGAGCATAGTCCGACCATATTGTGAAAGTATATGGACAGAAAAAAAAAAGTGATATCTAGCCTCATCTGGTTCATCAAAAAGAATTATAAGGCCCGCATCGTTGTGGTCTAGTGGTAGGAAGGGCTGTGTGGGGTGTTACACCACTTCACCCAAGTTCGATTCTCTCTAGAAACAAAAACATATGTGGAAAGTATGGGTTTGGGCCAAAGGTCCGAGCAGTTTACATGGTAGTCTAGTAACATGTGATCTGGCTACCCCCTGGCATTAGTCGGAAGGCATTTCAAATTCGAGACAGATAGTATGGTGGCTCATTTGGATCTTATGGATCTCATGGCCCGTTGATTCGAGTTTGCTCGAAGTTTATGGTGTCCGTTGAACCAGGAAAAAATCCACACTATAGCACTTCGGTGTGTTTTTACCAGAGCCGACCGAATCAGCCGATAGGATTTATCCAAAAAAAAAAAAAATTATAAGTTTGATAACGGGCCACAAAATTCAGTAGTTAACGATCTTTAGTCGTTAGCCAAACTACAAACAAGTAACGAAGGATCGATTGTGCGCACATACTACACTTGATCATGGTACCATATTCCGTTTAATACGCATCTGTTCCCGAGTGTGACGAGCCGAAAAAAAATGAAGGCTTATACACAATATAGAAATTGCTGGTCATTTTATATCCAATGTAGACGCTTTATATAGCAATATAAACGGAATTTTCGCAACTCCCTAAGATTATTATATATAGGGTTCTAGTATACTCTCGATTACTTTAAACGATTTTGCTAAATATCATGCATGTGTTATTATATAACCAACTAAAACAAGTTTGCATTCACCTACTAGTTAAACACTAAACTAATTCTGCAAACACGAAGTTCAATAACAAAACTTTAATCGTCTATTCTCTTCGCATTATCTTATTCATTTACCATGTTTCTATCATCTCAAAGAGTACACTCCATAGGAAAAGTCAAGAAAAAGATGGGAAGTTAAAGTACATGCATGCACCAAACTCTTCAAGAAGAAGTAAATGGTTAATGTTCCATGTACCATTATAATTAATTCCAAGCTTTATTAGGGCCCATTTTGTGGTGTTCTTGCCCCACTGTCCTTGCTCGAAAACTTTTTTTAACGTATGTATATATGTACATTTGTAATTCAAGATCAATAATGAAATATGTCTCCGAGGAGACATCTAAAGGACTAATCGACCCATCGAGATGAGAATGGGAACTAAGTATTGGTGGGTCATGCGGTCCACGTGACACCTTCACACCCCGACACACTCTACTTTTGTATAATTGCTATTATGTTTATCTATTTATGTATATACATTTGCACATGATCACATGTACGTACACATCCCACATGGTGTATATATATCGTATTTATACGAGTAATGAAACACTTCTCTGCATGTACAGCTGTCGTTCAGATACGTATTTCACCTAGGGAACAAAGTGCTCTCGTAGTGGGGAAATATCCGACTTTTTTTAAAAATAATGATTTTGAGATTTTGTAGTAAATGTTAGGAATAGTATATTTGCTCCATAATCAACAAACGAAACTTAACGATAACGTTATCCCTCCACTAAATACACAAAAGCGATATATAATGTTATGTTACAATGCTAAGGATTCACTTGCTTAAATAAAGACCATGTGTAATACACCAATGTAAGCAAAATTGTATATACATGTATATTTGTATTGAACACTAATGAGAAGAAATAGACACTTAATTACAACAGTTTTTTATTAAACAGAATATTTTGAAGTAAAACATTACATAGGTATTCGATCCTACAGTATATATTACAAGTTCCAAGAGATCATCAATATTACAAAAGATGTTATGGACTCTTTTATTCAAAAGAAAATGAACTTAGAAAGAAAATTATATACTTTCAAGCACGACGTAGTACATACTCTTAATTAGCTCTCATGGACAAAATCGTAAAAATGAACAATTTTCAATAAACAATAGCTCCACGACGGAAATCTGCCGCCGTATATATTATTCCTTGCCATCGGAAAATATCTCCGATCATTCACATTGATCATTTTAAGAGATCGTTCACCCATCCAAGATCAAGATCACCACAAGAACCAACCTCAAAGCCACTTTTATCCCTAGCTTCCGCCGCCGCAGCTGCAGCCGCCGTGAAATCACTTAAACGGCCACCACGTGGCGTGATTTCATCGCTGAAGAAGCTCGGCGGCGGCGGCTGAAGCTGAAGCTGGCCATGTAGGTAACTTGGAGTAGAAGAAGGTGAAAGAGCAAATTGAAGAGAAGAACTCTGTTGATATTGGTGATCTCTTTCTCCGACGTCAAGCCACGGCGGAAGACGGTGATGGTGATGGTTGCTAAGACTTGATGAGGCAAGCATCGCCGCCGTGGAAACCGGCATGGTGACCGGACACGACGAAGAAGAAGCCACCGCTAGTGCTTCCGTGAGACTAACGGAATCCAAAGAATTAATCAGCTCGTTTAATACTTCCTTGTACGCCACGGAAGATCGACGGCGGCTCAATCTTGAAAACACGGCGGATTTATTAGCCGGAGAAAGAGGCGGAGACGACGACGGCGATCGTGTTAAACCGAAGAGAGTGCTCGTTGGAGAGTGAGAACAAAACATACAACAACCATTACTCTTACTACTTAACATCGACGCAGATCCACCGTTGCCACCGGAGATGAACTTTTCCGGCGGCGGAAGAACTCTAAGCTGACGAGGAGAGTGAGCAAAGAAACATATTTTCCTCTTACAATGCTTACCGTCTTTACAAGCTTCTGTACGGTAACGACTAGGATGGAGCCAACACTCGAAAACGCCGTGAGCGAAACCGCATTCATCGCCGCGGCTGCAATCGCCGCCGTGACGAAACTCAGGGCATACTTCTCCGGTGTAATGATACCGGCGAGGGTCACGGCGACGAGCTTTTTCGCCGGGATGAGAGAAAGGACAGTCGGTCCAATCGTGGCTACGGCTACGTGTGCACCGTCGGATCTTGAACTCGTACATCCGGAAATGGTCTCCGGCGTACGGATCGTCGGAGTCAGAGTCGTAACAATAGTCTTTGTGATCTTTGGGACGTGAAGTTGCCGACGACGGAGATTTGGAGGAGGAAAGAAGCTTTCTCGGTGGAATATCGACGGAGATGTGGCCGGAGCTGTGATGTTCGACGTTCATGTCTACGTGGCCAAAGACGAGAGAGAAAGTTCTTTTTTTGGAAGAGATAAGTGTAAGATAAATATGGTAGATGCTTTATTGTCTATATATATGCGATTATGTGTGTACATATGCATAATATGGTTGTTTAGAGAGTAGAGATCATGCCAAAAGTGAAAATGTGTAATGATGTTGCATATTAAAACGTTTTATAATGCTAATACAAAAATAACTCGGGTTCACAGATATATATTCCTATATTAATAATTAACTAGCTTTGTAGTTTGGTTTACTTATAATCAAATCACTATCATAATGTAATCCGAATTTGTATCTAGAAGAATGTGTAAGTGATATATAGATAAACGTCATGAGTAGAGTTTAATCCAAATAAGATTTGTTACCGATCTAAAACGTGAGATTCGATTTAATTTGAAACTGATGAAACCAATATCATTTTAAAAAAAAAGATATGTTGGAAAGGTCACATATAAAGAAAACATAGAATTTTTTCGACAAAAAAAAAACATAGAATTTTAACTCTTTTTGTTATCAATTAGGCTACCTTTTTTTTGGTTAAACTTTTTCAATTAGTTTTCAACTAAAAAGTTTATGAAATTTAATAATAAGCACTAATGCGTTTTTTTTTCATACATTACAGTAGTTAGTTTGGTTCATATATTCACAACTTTACTACTAACTTTATACCAGAAAATAAAATCGAAATGTTCAACTTATATACAAAATGAAATGATTAGTAAATCTATAAGAAAGAAAACAAGACGTCGATGTGTAGAGAATGAAGAAGGAGACAAAGGAGAAGAGCTCGTGGCAAGAGAACATAAGAGAGGTTCATGCAACTGAGCAAGAGGTGGCGTTCTCTAGGAAAATTGAGTCACGGTTTCTAAATATATATATTTAAACAAAATTTTTTATAGATAGATTCTTTATTTTTTTTTGTTTCTTGTTATGTCATGTAAGATAGACTTATTTACATGTGTTGTCTTTATGTATTCGATCTAAGAAAAAAATGTAAGTAATTTAATGGTCAGGACTCAAGGATATTTCTAGCTAGAGGAAACTTTGCAATACAGAAACGCATGTACATGATAGTAACACTAAATATATTGCATTTTCTTTAAACATTATTTATACAATAGAATTTAAATATGTTAGTTGGTTAATAATTCAATGTTATAGAGGTTTGTTGTGTCAACAAGTGTCGATCTCTATATGGGTTACGTCGCTCGCGTCGAAACAAAAGGTATTTTGGTTTTTTTTTTCTAATATATTGAAGAATGCTCTCTTCTATTAACGAGTTAAGAAAATTTGTTTCTAAAACTTTTAAATCCATATTATTATTTTTTTTCTTTCAAGAACCTGCAATATGCGGATTTAAGTCTACATTAATTAATAATATATTGGTTTGTATGTTTTTTTATCTATGTGATTTCAAAAACTTATAATGGCTAGAATTTTAAATCTCCGAAGAACATTTCACTGAAGTGGTCCATCAACATTGGAGTAAAAGTCTAAAACGCTAGTTTGTTAAATATGATTTATTTTTATATTCCACAACTTCCTTTTTTTTCTTCAAAATTTGTAGTTTAAATATTTATACCTATATTAGAGAACTTCATTCGAATTAAACAAATTTACACCAAGGCTAGATTAGTATTTAATTTGGCTGCCACATACTCAAAAACTGAAAAATTGAACCATAATTAAAATTTCTATAAAAGAAGAAGCAAAATTGAATACCCACCCATACACACATTGATCCATTAATTTTTGCTGAACCTTCGAAAACAAATTCGCCACTAAACCTCTCTACACTTAAACCCTGCATTAAAAAATTACCAATACACATGATACATTAGTCATAGTTTTGATATATAATATATACATATCTACAATATTAACATATTTCATTTTTAGCCGAAAACCAAACTAATCTCAATATCTAAAAGATTTTCTTACCACTTAAAAACTAATTGATGTGTATAGACTTACGTGGAGCAGTCCATGCTAGAGGAGATGGGGAAGCTGAGATGTGTGTTGCAAAGAAGAGGAAGTTCTTGGATCTTATCAGCCAACATTGGAGGCGTATAACCTCTCGTCATCATCTCAACACAATTACACAAAAGCCTCGGATTCTCCTTTTTGTGATTAGCAATTATGTTAAGTTTACCGATGTGGACACAACATTTTTTACCGGGTTTGTAATAAATCCCCGTGAGAAATTCTAGACAATAAGAAAAATAATCATATGTGTACGCACAAAATGGTACGTACGAGTGAACCTGAATCATTAGCCTAGTGTGATGATCGGAGATCACGAGAAGTAGTAGTAGTGAAAGCATGACTAATTTATCCATTTTATAAACTTCGAATTGATGTGAATGAGACAAACGATCAAAGATTAATTGAATGAACTTGTATAAGAAGAATTATATATAGTGTTTTAGGTCATGTTTATTTCATGATCTTGTTGGTTTTGTTGATGGTTGGGTCAGTGTATACGTATATATTAATGAAAAGGAACAATACAAATCGAATGAACCTAGCTAGAGGCACATCATGATTACTAATATATACTCCTAGCCTATTTCAAATATTTACCAGAACGTTTAGCCTTTATTTAGAGGATCAAGTTTGATAGATTCAATTGTTCGATCAACTAACTAAAACATCTATAACATGAAAACTGAAAAAGTAAAATATAAAATTTTATTGCTCAAAATGATATTATCATACTGATATCCATATAACTGCTATATTTTTTATATTTTACATATATTAATCAAATAAAAATTGACAAGTAATATTTGTTTCTGTTAACACATTAAATTGAAAAAAAAAACTAAAGTTCTTAACAATGCATACATCATATCAGAGAAGAAACACCTTATCTCAAATAGACGATCAGTGACACATAGAAGATGAGTGAAAGATTTAATCCAAATCATCATAAAACCTCTATAAATATGAAATACATGTTTTACCAAAACATTTCATAAACAGTACAGTTAAAAGTTTGTTTATTTGTTTTTTGATCTAGCATTGTCATTATTTGATACGATCCAATGTGATCTACTCTGAAGGATAAAGGCTAGAGAGGATTCGATGGACTTATGATGGTGGTGTGCTGAACGCGACGATGAGTGACGATGGTGGAGAACGGATCGAGTGGATGATGATGATGGTCTGGTGGCTCGAATCGATGGTATGGTGGAAGAGATAGAACCGATGGATTGGTGATGGTGATGATGAGATGATATCGATGGAATGGAGGGATAGAAGAATCTCTTGTAAACAGATTAGTTTTTAAGAGATTCGAATTTCAGAGTTCTTTAGTTCTCAGAAATCAAAGAGAGAAGAACACGTTAAAAGTTTGATCAAAATTCTTCACTGAATAATACTTAGGCGATTTTCTCTCTTAAATAGAGTTAGAGAGAAATCGCAGCCCTAATACAAAACTACATGAAGTCTGAAATAAAAACAACACGAAGTTTGATTAAAAAACTAAAACAGCGAGGCGTCCCTTCTAAATCCTAAGTGGTGCGCCTAAAACAACTAGTGCACAAGTCATTGTGACTTTGCACATTATTACCCATTAGTAACAACTTCTAAATAACTCGACGTAGCAATGATTTCTGCCTCGTTAAAAACCTTGGAGAAGAACCTCCTTGCCTTCCAAAATCCTCACCAAGAAAAAGAGTACAGAATCATCACCTAAGTTACCTAGTCATTGTTACTGGGTTCTTCATTCTTTAAGATAGAGATATTGAAGATTTGAGCTCCAGCCTCCAGTTGATCGATGTCCTCTGCAGCTATGAGTGCGTGAGCCTCCTTAACCATCTCTCTAGCTCTGGAACGAGTAATCCTACCAGCTACCTCTAGTTCCTCCTCCTCTGAGCTGGTCACGATCATATCATTATTATTTTAATTAAAATTCATAATTATAACTAGGGTTTATAATAATAATAAATAAAAAAAATAAAATCATTTTCTTAACAGAAATTTCAAAAACCATTAATAAAACAAAAATATTTAATTAAATTTCCAAGCCAAATCATCATAGAACTTTTTTACACCAACAAATGGACAAAGACTGTCATATGAAAGGATAAAAGAGAAAACGACGGTGTTTAGCGAATCGATTATGTTAGACATGAAACGACGGCGTTTCAAAGTGATCCACACTAGGAGCGTCAAAATAGCCGTTAAGAGACGAAGATGAAGAAGAAGAAGAAACAAAGGAACAAAGTTAATTTGGCCGTTGGAAACTCTTTTAATAAGCGTTTTTGATCGTTCGTATTTAGTAACCTTTCTTATCTTCTTCCCTAATCATCGAATCCTTCCGATTCTTCTTCTTCTCCAAATTTCTCTCTCTGTGAACTGTGATTTTGTATTCGCCGGAGTGATGGATACGACGACGGAGGACCAAACCGCCACTTCCGTGACGACGAAGACGACGATAGATGAGAGTTACGAATTCACGGCGCCTCAATGGTACGATTTCTTAAACGAAGAGACGAAGCGAGACAAACAACAATCAGAGCTCTGGTTCGATTCAGCGAAATGTTATGCTCATTCACGTACGTTTTCTTTCTCGATTTTTCAATTGAAACTCAAATTCGATGATCTACGACTTCGTTTTTTTAGTTTCTCTCAATCGATAAGAAGAGAAATGATAATTAATTCCATTTTGAGGAATTTTGAATGATCTCAATCGATAATTAACAAACAAAGCTGATTCAAGTTTGTTTTCGATACTCTTCTTCTTTGTGCAGCTTCGATTCCCAGAATCAAAGCGAGGAGATCATTTAAGGTTGAGAGCATGTGCAACTTCAGTGAAGAAGAAGACAAACACTTGAAAGTAATATCTTCAAATTCGTGAGGTAGAACAGTAAATTATTTGCTTTGCTTGAATCAACTTAAGGTTTTGCTTTCTCTCTCTGTGTAGGCTAAAGAATCATCTGAACCACAACCTGGAGATACTTTCTCAAACCTGACAAACAAGGAAGAAGACTGCACATCTAAAGCATCAAATAAGAATTACGACAAGAAGCAGAACACCACAGAGATTCAAGAACACGACAGGTTATTATTTACAATTCTTAGTCTAGAGATTATATCTGCTGTTAAGCGATGAGTGAGTAACACATTTTCGTGATATGTTCATTCAATAGTTTCCTCGACGAAGACGATGTTAATGAGGAGACAGATAACAAAGAGAACATTCCTCCATCACAGACTCAAGTTTACACTCCCAAACCTCTAATGAGTAACACTAAGAAGCATCAAACTGCTACAAAGAATCGGTCTGTGCTGATGCCGATAAATCAGTCACAGTCGTCACAAGCCAGAGGCACCAATCATAAAATCATGAAAAGGTACCTTTCATTGTTTTAATTTGGTTTTTTCGCGCACTTAATTTGGTAAATGTTGTGTGTTGATGATGACTGTCACTGCAGGGAAACGAAAAACATAGCTGGAACTTCTAATTTGGTTCAGGAAAACCAAGCCATCAAAAGGCAAAAGCTTGATGAAGGTAAATCTAGACAGGTGAGTCATCTTAAACTACAAAACTTGTTTCACTATCTCAGTGCTATGTATTAATCTGAACCCGTTGATTTCACTAGATGTTCAATCCAAAACCGACAACTTTGCCTCACAAGACAAAACAAGGTCTTGTTAACACGAGCTTCAGCTTATGCCCTTCAGTCACTAAGAAAACCCGGACAGAGAACAGAAAGGTGCATTGTGTTTCAGAGATGCGATCAAAACCTGGATAAACTGTTTTTCTAACTCTTGCTATTTACTTTTTAAGGTTTACGTCCGGGAGCAAGTTACTCCATTTGTTTCAACTGCTGAATTGATGAAGAAATTCCAGACAAGCACAAGGGACTTGTCACTGCCTCATGCTAGCACTTGTCTAGCACAGGTAAAAATATTGCCTCCATTCCGTTTTTTTCTTGGAATTTCTTCAATTAAATTTCAGGACAGTGCTCTGCTTTTTCTTGTCCAGAACCAATCTAGGCCGACGACACTGACAAGGCCGAAGGAACCAGAATTTGTGACATCTCAGCGAATTCGTCCCATGAGACTTAAAAGCACTTCAGAGCGGGAGGAAGAGATGTTGGCAAAGATGCCTAAGTTTAAAGCACGACCTTTGAATAAAAAGGTAAAATGCAAGGCTTGCATTCTCAGTGCCTCTCTCTTCAGCACAGAAATGATGAAGCCTGAAAACTAATAATGCACTTCTTCTCTATTTGACAAGATTTTAGCAGCTCCAGGTTTGGCTGCACCACAAAGAAGTACACCACATCCTCCAGAATTTCGGGTAAACTACACTGATAAGACCACTTTCATCTGGATGAGATTCAAACACTCTGATCCAAAACATTTTCCGAGTGAGACTGTTTATATGTGGCTTAATTCTTCCTGTTGCAGGAGTTCCATCTAGAAACAATGGCACGAGCTAGCCAGCATGCAGAGACATATTCAGTAGTCTCGATGGACATGTCTAAGGTTATAGAGCTTTTGTTTTCCTGTTGTCTTACTAGAAAAACACTTGAGTTTTGACCTAACTGAGACATCTCTTGCTTTCTTCATCCACAGAAAAATGATTGGACGCCTCATCTCACCGAACCAAAGAGCCCTTTGCTTCAAACAATGCTGAGAGCTCGTCCAATTACAGCAAAAACTTCTGCTGAAATCGAGCAAGAGGAACTCGAGAAAGTGCCAAAATTCAAGGCAAGACCCTTGAACAAAAAGGTAACATATATCTATTCAAGTGTTTTAATTTGTTACCTTTCAAGTTCTTCATTCGTGTCTCTAGATCTAATTCAGAATTATCTCTCAACCATTCCAGATTTTTGAAAGTAAAGGAGAGATGGGAATATTTTGCAGCACAAAGAAACATAAAACCTTGAACAAAAAGGTAACATATATCTATTCAAGTGTTTTAATTTGTTACCTTTCAAGTTCTTCATTCGTGTCTCTAGATCTAATTCAGAATTATCTCTCAACCATTCCAGATTTTTGAAAGTAAAGGAGAGATGGGAATATTTTGCAGCACAAAGAAACATAAAACCTTACCTCAAGAGTTCCACTTCGTGACAGATGAGAGGATATCACGGCCTAATTCTGTTATCGACATGTTCGACAAGGTACCTTGGTCCTTGACAAATCCTAAGTTCTGCTTCTTTGAAATCTCGTTGTCTTAACATAACATCTCCTTGGCAGCTCTCTTTGAACTCTGAACCTTGCCGTGAAAAGCCTCTACAAAGGAACACTACACCAAACCCTTTCCTTCTTAGGACAGAAGTACGTAATACGATGAACAAAACCCTCATTGATCCTCAAAAGTAAGGAATTTCGCTGAAATATCTTTGATATGATTAAATCCAGGAAAGAGGTGCTGAAAAACAGAAGAAGTTTGTGAGAGACGTCATGCATAGTCAAATAGAGGCTGAAAAGATCAGAACTCCCAAAGCAACCCCATATCCCTACACAACCGACTATCCCGTGGTATGCATCCACAGTTTCTACTTCCCATTTCTTACTCAGTTGTATGTAAACGCGGGACAAGTCTGAAAATTGTTCACTTTCCAATTCAGTTCCCACCAAAACCAGAGCCTAAGCAATGCACAAAACCAGAACCGTTCCATTTAGAGAGTCTAGCTAGGCACGAAGAAGAAATGCGGAAAGAAATGGAAGAGAGGATGAGAATGGAAAGAGAAGAAGCTCAAAGAAGAATCTTCAGAGCACAGCCAGTGATTATAGAGTAAGCAATTGTTTCCTTTTTCCCGTTTTTTGTTATCAGCTTTCTCTACATTTTCAAAGAGCTAGCAATGATTTTGTAATAAATTCACCACTCAGAGATCCAATTCCTGTTCCGGAGAAAGTACGAAAGCCTCTCACAGAAATTCAAGAGTTTAACCTCCATGTGGACCATCGAGCTGTCGAAAGAGCAGACTTTGACCATAAAGTAAGACTATCTAAGTCGTTTTTTCAGCAAATTGAAAGCAAGTTTTGTTGCCGAACGTCATGATTTCTTAACTAGATTGATAATATTCTCTTTGGTACCAGATTAAAGAGAAGGAGATGATGTACAAGAGATACCGCGAGGAGACTGAAGCCGCAAAAATGGTATAGTAATAGAAACAAGATTTCTTTAAATTATACTGCCAAATATATATATGAATATTTTTACCTGAAATTGTTGTCAGGTAGAGGAAGAGAGAGCTTTAAAACAACTGAGAAGGACAATGGTTCCTCACGCACGACCAGTGCCAAACTTCAACAACCCATTTTTACCTCAGAAGTAAGTTCTGATCCCAAATCAGGAGTCGATTTCTTCTCTTCTTCTCTTGCTTTTTTCACCTACACTTAGTCAAAACTAAAACCTCCATATCAATGAAAACACAGGTCGAATAAGGAGACGACAAAACCAAAGTCACCGAAGCTTAGAGTGATCAGAAGAATCGAGAGGAGAACGATGATGGCTTCTTCTTCTACTCACATGAGATAGCTTATAAAAAGTAAAAAAGATTAAGCAGCAACAGAAATTACTGTTCAAGAACGCTTGAACCTTCCTCCTTTGTAAAATCTTCTCATGTTTTGAGACTTCATCGATACATATTATAGTGGGAAAAAAAAAAAGAAGATTTCCTTATAAAAACTTGCTCTTTATATAATACTAAGCAACGTCTACAACGAGTAAGAAAGAAAAACAGTGACACAAATGTAAACCTCCATAGAATTTAACTACTTGAATAAAAAACCAAATGAGATATATAATCTAGCAACAAGCCCTGATCCATCTGTTTATATATATACGTTGTTTGCAGCACGTCCTTAAAGGCTCCAAGTTTCTTCACTCGGTTTGCTTTTGCCGATAAGCTATGATCTGCAAGGAACATACCAAATTAAGGAAAAAAATTTCAGAAAGTTGAATTATAGTTTAGATTAGAACAATGAATCAGATATATGGATTTATTCTCAGTAACGCTACCAAATGTTGTTCATGGCTTGAAAAGAAATCGACTTTGAGCCTTGACAATGTTTCATTGTCTTCCAGACTTTGCATCTCATCTTTGGATGCTACTGCTGCTGAAGCTGAAGTCACTACAGGGAGATTCTCTATTTCCTTATCTTCTCCTCCTAATCTTCTTGTTCCCAACAATTCAACCTCTTCAGACTTCAAATGCATCTGAAGTGCTACAAACTGTTCCAACATTGAGAAATCACACAAGTATTTAGCGTATGTGATTGAAATGATCTTTGTTATTGAATTACATTAAAGAACTTTCACATCTATGTATGTAACAAACCTACCATATATGAAGTGAATTTTGAAGATTGACTACTTTCTGATGTTAATACAGAGAGAGAGAGAGGAGTACTTACTTCTCGGAGCTGTTTTACAAGCAAAGTGGGTCGGCAACGGAGATATGGCTGCGGTAAGTCTGGTACACAATTTGTATCTAGTGAGACAAGCTTGAGATGAATATCCAGCTGCAGAGAGAAAGAGAAAAATCTATCAAAATCCAAGATAACTGCAAGCTGAAACACCGGTCATAAAGAAGAAGGAGAATCATCAGTCCTTTTTTTCTTTTGTACCTCTAAACTGTTACCATCTACGTTGCTGCGTAGATATTCCACAAGTTTATTCACACGAGCATTCCTCAGACTCTTAACACTACCTCCTGGTGTATTATTCCCATGCCTTGTGTTACTCCTTGTACCACCTCTTCCCCAAGCAAGTATCTCAGGATTCCACTCAAGCCCAGGGGATATTCCTTTGCTGTCTCTATACACTTCGGTGTCGTTATCTGCGCAGTTACCATTGTTGTTATTGTTGTTTGCACCTGAAGAAGAAGGGTGTTGTGTTGAACGAATTGTAGATCGCTTTCTTCGTTTTCTCTGCCGGACTTCTGCACCACGCTCATCTGACGACGAATCTTTGCCTCCTCCTCCTCCGTTGTTGTTATTATCATCATTATTATCATCCTCATGGGTTTCTAATGCGTTTTGTTCCATGTTTCTGCAGTTCCTTCTCCTTCTGGAGCCACTAGCACTACGCTGTGATCTCATTAGAACTGCTGCCTCTTTACCAAAAGATCTTCTTTTCACAAGAGCCTCAGATTGTCGTTGTGATATTTCAGCTATAGATGCTTGAATCTACACAGAATCCATATTAAGGTAGAGAAATATATTTGTAGATAATAGCTCCGGTAACAGTTAAAAAAAGGTAAATGACCTGCTTATTACGAGCCTTATCATCTTCGTGAAAAGCCAATTCCTGAACAAAAATGAAAAGCAATTTAGCAGCAACAATCTCTCAGAAATAGAAAAGCAACAAAAAAGAAAAAAAATGTGATGTTTGACCTCTTCCTCATAACTATCAATGTTTGTGAACAGAGCTGCAATGAGAGCATCAAATTTTGGGTCGTCTCTCAGAGAACGCCGGCTTGCACAATGTTTCCTGCAAGCAGGACATTCGTTGTTCCTGCAACAGCAAATTTCAGTTTATATAATCTCAGAACAAAGCTCTATGAGAATGGTGAACATGTCACTTGAAATTGGCATAGACTAAGCAAGAAAAGAAACCAAAACAACATAAATAAGATATCGAACAATTTAAAGGCATACCCCAATCTCATTGACTTATCAATGCATTCCCGGCAGAACCGGTGCAAGCATTCCATCACAGTCCTTGTTTTCTTTATAATTCCTGGAAAAAGATAAAACAGGAACCTCGTATCAGCCGGATGTAGCATACTGTACCAGTGGAGTTTAAAAATAGACTAGCAGAGAAAATTTGCAGTGTGAAAATGTCGGCCAAACTAATTTGCCTCAATAGAGACAAGTTTAAAAACATTCCCTGCAAATCAATCATCTACAAGAAGACGATACGAAAATACTCAAGCGGCTGAAGAAAGTAACAACTTTAGAGCTTGAGGATAAGTCTCATTCCCAACAAGGATGCTGTTAGTGAATGACTTGAAATGGAAATATTCAGGAAGAAATTAAGTACCTAGGCATATCGGACACTGCACGTCTTTACGGATTTCCCCTAGATCAATATCCATAAATCTGCACGAAAAAAAAAAACCAGACATATGTAAACAACAAAGATAAGAATCTGACCAAGATAAAAAAGTAAAGCTGATATTTTTAACTGGAACTTCTACAATGATGCTACAATGACAGAAAATCGAGAGAATTCTAAAACAGTGTTGAACAACAAAGATTAAGTTAAATCGTTCTTCAGATCAACCTCCACAATGGATGCTATAAATCAAGCTAGAAACTCCACATTGTCTAACAACAAGAGCTCGAAATTATGAGCAGCAAGACGACGGTAATTACAACATGCAAGCAAGCGGTAAGACGATGGAATCATCAGATTGCTAAATCAAGCAGAGTAATTCTCACAGTACTCGTTCCACATCAAAAAACCCATCGAGAATACTACTGTTTATAACGAAGAACTTGAATGGAGAAGAGAACCCATTACGGCAAAACACAATCTGGAGAGAGAGAGAGTGGAGAAGAGAAAGATACAGAAAAGGGAAAATTCGTACTCTGATTGTTCTCCTGAGTTCGGAGATGAACTTTTTTCCTTAGAATCTGCAAAAAATGAGAGCCGAAATTCGATCACATGAACAAACACACACTCACGTATTATACACAACAACAAGCGTGATTTACGTTTCCACGAGTAGGAACCCAAAAATAACAACCTTTACCTTCTTCTTCTTCTTCTTCTTCTTCTTGTTCCTCCTCTGCATCTTCATCTTCAACATCATCTTCTTCTTCTTCGCCGTCTGCTTCGTCTTCTTCTTCGTCTTCGTCTGCTTCTTCTGCTTCTTCTTCTTCGTCCGCTTCGTCGCGTTTCACTTCCGCATCGTCTCCTTCTTCTTCTTCGTCTTTCTTCTCAACCTTCTCTTCTAGATCCTCTTCCTCGTTCTCTTCAGCTTCCGGGTTAAATCGGTCGCGAGGTTGGTCTTTGTCTTCCACTTCCTCATCGGGAATCTCAGCCGCCGAGAAGCTCGTCTTCACAGGCATTGTAGGAGACAGTGATCTTCCACGAGCTTTCTCTCTTTCTCTCTCTATCTCGTATCTTCTCTTTCTACGTCTCTCTCTTTCTCTCTCTCTCTTTTCTTCTGCTGCGTTTGTCTTATGGTTCGGTGCCGATATAGAGAAGAGGAAAAAAGGAGAATGAAATCGGACGAAGAAAAAAGTTGAGAAATTTAGCCCCTTTTTTCAATTTCTAATTTTCTTAATTAAAATTGTATTATTGAACTCAAAACATAAATTAAGTTTCCTTTTATTGCCTATAATAATCCGATTTATCATATGCAACTGTCAGATTTCGAGTGTATAATAGAAACTTTGTGTTGCATCTGATTAAATTAAATGGATTCAATACATTTGCAAATTAAATTAATAATGGTTTTTATTACACTTTCTAATAATTTTCTGTACTATCGGGGTGTTAGGTGATCAAAATAAAACATGAAGGGTCAATTTTATTTTGACCTGTAATAGTGGGTGGGTTGTGAAAGGATAAATTTAGAATAATAAATCGACCGCTGATTAAAAATTTGATTACACACAGTACATATCGGACCTGGTGTAGTAAGTAGTAAGCCCACTAACTCAGCCCATTTACAGTGATGTGAATTACAAAAGAAGATTTGAATCGTTAAACAAAAGTTACAAAACAAGAAAAATGAAAACTTCAATAGTGCATTCTTTTCAAATTTCATACGTGCGACCATTGGGACTTATCCTACATCAGAGCCGTGCCTCCCTTAACGAAAAAAAAAAAGACAATAGCCTTAGGCGATATCTATAGTTTTAGTTTTTAGGCCATATATCAATAACATTATTAATTAAGTTAGTGAAAGGTTTGTTGTTAGAGTTTCAAGTCTTGTAATACTAATTTTTACTTTCAAATCCTCATTTATCTGTCATTTTTTTATTATAAATCTAATGAACTTAATTTTATTTATCCACATAATATTTGTTATTCTACCATTTTAATATGTTTTGATAAGTATTTGGTACTTTAATATATTTTAAATAACAAACTCATTATAATGTCTTATATATTTATTTTATATATAATTTTATATTTCAGTAATATTGATTTTACAGTTTGATTTATCATAAAATTGTCTTAAACCACTAAATGTGTTAGCACGGCACTGCTCTACATAAAAAATGATTAGTAGTATCAAATTGTTACTCATTCACTCATCGTTTAAAGAAGTCGACCTTGTGAACAACACTTCTTCCTTTAGTTTCTGCTGGTCAAATTTGGATGGAATTAAGGGTACATCATGATCTCAACGAAAATAAATACTATTTCGAGTTTAGACCCAAAAAAACAATAATACTTTGGGTTATCTGAATACATGGAAAACAAATTGCAGACTCTCCAACCAACTATAAGAAAGATAAAGTATAACTATCATCAAGTTGGTCTTTTTTTCTTTTTTAGTTTTTGGTATTTTTTTCTTTTATGTAGAATATGTTTTTATATTTGAAAATATTCATGTACATATGATGCAATGATATATGGTAACAAATTTATTTAATATCATACCTGGAAAAGTGTTTTTGTTGCAAAAAGATATACTAGCTAGCATTAAAGAAATACACATCTATAAAAATCGAACAATGGTTAAAAGCCAAAGCTCTACCACTAAGATCTATTTTGATGTATACAAGAAGCAAAACCGTAGAGAAAGTCAAACTGAAACAAAGTTCCAAACCGAAGATACATTCAGTGATTGGTTATTGTGGATCCTAAAATCCACACTCAGAGATTTACTGTTTGGTTTAGTGAAGAAGATGATGGACAAGAATTCTGGCAGAGACTGATGTAAAGTAAAAGACAAAGCTCGACGAATTGGATTGTATTGATAAAAAATAATGAGTTTACAAAGGAGTTTATAGCTGAAAATTAGATGATCTTTTACATGGAAACAGTGTACTATTTATACTAGGTAGGTCGTTGCGAACTACTACGAGATTTCCGGGATACCTCGATCTCCTCCTTTCCAAGATCTTCGGGATCTTCTCTTATCCACTTTTCCTTATCTTCGTAGCTTGCTGCGTCCTACCGAATATCCTTGCGAGATCCTCTTTTGGTTAAGTTTGCGGGCCTTAAAGCCCATAGACGCTTGTGCGATGATCTGTTTAAAACGTGGGCCGGATTTGGCTAAATCCAACACCAATATTTGCTCCCCAGCCCATTTAGTGAGATGCGAGCTAAAAGGGGCGGACTATTATTGGAAAGCTTCGGCTTTCCCTCTTCTTCACGATTTTATCTGTACGACCCAGATCGAGTTTTTCATAAATAGAGGGTCGAGATATTTTTAGCCGCCCAGGCTAAGATTTTCTTTGATTCGATGTACTCGAATCTTACTGATATAACGAAATCATGATGAGATATAATGAAATCTTGCTCGCAGATTAAGATGAACGGTCAGGATTCTCGCGAGAATTTCGTCAATCTCGATAGCGATCATAAGTGCTACTTTATAAAGATCAACTTCCCACGTCCTCTCATCATAACTGCACGCTTCCCACTCTGCTTCAAGGTAACTTCTCTCCTTCTTTTTTCATTAACTGCTCTATTTGTTTTAAGCTCTTTTCTTTATTTCGAGGAATATCGTTTTCGACTTCGTTTCAAAACTTCCGAGAAAACTCCCTTTCACCGAAATTCAGCAATGGAGCATCCAGATATTTCGACCATTTCGTTCGTCTCGCCCAACGACCTAAATCGTTTCCGACGGATCCACGACATTCCTTCTTCAATCGAGCTCGTCGTCCTGGATAGAGGAGAGACACCGAAGACGGTTCGGGCTGGCTACAGCATCGGCTACACTCCGTTTTTTTACGCATGCGGGCTTTCTTTCCCCATCCCTCCGAGTCTTCTCACAATCTTGGCGGATTTGGGGCTGGCGTTTCCCCAAATGAACCCTAACTTCGTCCGTCATGCTTTGGTGTTACTGGTTAGGGCAGCCGAGGCAAGAATCCCCTTCGGAGTCGAGCAACTCCACAGGATGTGCTCTATCAAGAGCAATTCTTCTTTTCCGGGGTCTTTCTACCTATCTCCTCGAAAGACTCGAAGTGTTTTCGAAGATATCCCAGCTCGCGATGATCGTTGGAAGGAGAAATACTTCTTCTTCCGGGTTAACGCGCACTCCGTCGGATCTTTCGATTTTGATCGGTTGCCCACTGTTTGGGCTCCGAGAGTTGGTTAGCATTAGGATGCTTAATCGATTTTTTCGTTAGGTTAGTAAGCTCGTTGCTGACTATTTGCTTTTCCTTGTTCCGCAGTTGTTCCGACGAACATCGGCCTAGACAAACCATTGATCGCTGCTTTGAAGGACGGTGATTGCTCGTGGCCCAACTTCACAAGGGAGAGGATCCGTCGCGCTCTCGGAACTGATAACCCGCAGCCAGCCGTTATTTCGGAGCCTGAAATTGATCCGTTGAACCCGCCGTCCATTAATCGTCCGGCCAACTTTCACCAGATCCCGATTGGTTAGTCCAACCGTTTCATATTCCTTGAGCTATACTTTCGATCTGTCAGACTATTAGATAATCCGTCGTTTTTGTTTTCAGGTACTAGCTGTCGGGGAGTTCTGGACGCAACCTCTTCAAGCACTTCGCACCATTCCTTGATCCGTAGAGCATCTAAAGGAAAAATGACGAGGAGGCCATCAGCTCGCGAGGCCGAAAAGGCAAGGAAGAACCGGGCTCAAGCTGGGAGCTCGGGAGCTGTTCGCACTGGTGAGATTCGTCGCGCTGTGAGCGACGCACTTGAGCAAGCCTCTAGGGCTTACGAGACTCCGGCCACCGGTCTTCCCGCTGACCCCACATCGAGGGTTATCTCGCTTAGTTCGCGAGATTCTGAGAGGACTTCACGTCCCAAGAAGCCAAGGGTGGAGGACCCAGCTCCGGACAGGAGGTCGAACTCCTCGAACGGGTCAGGTGGATCGATCCCGTATGGTTGGACATTCAACCATACCAAAGGGTGCCCGATCGCTGACGATCCAGAGGGGGTAGCCTTTTTTTCCGGCACTTCAAGCCTCCGGGTTGCGTGCTGCCCCCGGTTCGAGATATGGCGGAACATGCCGCCTATGTGAAGATGATGGCAGCTCACGGCCAGGTACGTGTTTATTTGTTTTTTTTATTCTTGGTGTGTGCTCGTGCTAACACGCTCTCTTATGATCAGGCTCTCGAGGCTGTCAACGAGTATTCTGCCATACTCGAAGACAAATCTTTGGCCATGCCTACCTCCGACGAGCTCGAGGAGATGAAAAAGACTGTGTTCGACCTCTCTTCGAAGGTCAAGAACGCGGAAGAGAAAGAAAAGCGTCTAGAGACCCAGCTTTGGTCTGCGAAGACGGTGGTGGACTCTGCAAGCCGACGTGCTGATGATCTGACCGAACAAGTTTGTGGTCTCAAGGGAGAGGTCGATGCAAAGGTCAGGCGGGCTGTTAGGGAAGCGAAGCGGGAATTTGCCGAGAAATATCTGGCGATCTTCCATTCTCTCAAGGATAAGTGGGAGAAGAAGAAGGTCGAAGCTGCATGTGAGGCGGAGCTCCAGGACGTCGAATCCAACTTGGATCTCATTAAGGACCTAATCAGCGGAGCTCTCAATGCTCCAGACGAGAAAGCTCACCTCGAGGAGAAAATTCCCGAGCTCACTCAGAAGCACGCTGACGCGGAGGTGTCCGACTTCTCTCTTGCGAAGCTCGATCTTCCGCAAATTTCGGAGGCGTCCGTGAGGCCGATAGAGGTTGATCCGGTGTCGCAGGTTCCGCTTGGACTCGACCAGTTTGGAAGTAATGCTGCTGTTGGAGGTGGAGATGAGTTGGCAGATGACTCAGCGATCCCAATGGAGAAGGAGGGCGGCGAGAATGAGCCTAAGGAGTGATCCTCCTTTTTCCTTAGCCCCTCCTTTATTTCTTTTTTATGAACTTAGCTGCCTGTAAGGCTTTTTTCTTTTGTTTCCTCGCACTTTCAGTACTCTTATTGCCCGGGAGGGTTTTAATCCGCACTTGGTTGTTTTGCCTGGAGGGTATGCTTGCTTTTGAATTTGTTTTTGCTTTTTAATTTCGTCTAAGTTATCGATTTGCTTGATTATCTTTTGAGACTTAGAAAAAAATTTGAAAAGGCTTCTTGTTTAGATAGTGCCGAAGTGATTACTATGTGATCGCTTATGGAGATCGCATCATAGTGTTAGGTTGCGAGTAACGAACTGTGGTAGTAACTTTATTTTGTAAGCGCTAAGTTACTCAGCGAGCTACGAGCTATACGATCATTTTAATAGATCATTTTATTGATAACTTACTGCGAACAACGGGGTTGCTGTAGTTTTGTTTTGTTTTTTATTAGCAGATCGCAATCAATAAGTTATGAGACCGTTTGGTGGTCGTTTGAAAGCTACCTAAAGTTAGCAGCGAACTAAGCTGAGATTGTTCGGCTCAATCGATGCTTAGCGGGCTATGAGCCTCGAGCTGTGAGATCGTTTGAAGAGATCGAAAGAGAGTGTTTGGAACAAGGGTTTTTATTCACAAAACTTTGGTTACATACATTTTTACAAAGTATTTGAGTATGTAGAGATAGTGGCTAGACTCAATGTCGAGCTGCCTACGTACCCCGTCAAGGGATCAAGCCTGAACGTAGTTCGATTATTGTCAATGCTCAGAGATGGTAACGCTTGAGATTCATAACGTTCCACGGTCTTGCATCTGGCACTCTGGTTTTATTGTTTGCGAGCTTGTATACGCTGTTGCGCACTACTTCGGTGACTCTGTACGGGCCTTCCCAGTTTGTGCCTAGCTTGCCGGCGCCTCGCTTCTTAGTGTTGTCGAATACCTTTCGTAGCACGAGGTCGCCAATACTGAAGCTCCGGTGTTTGACTCCGGAATTGTAATAGCGAGCTGCGGCCTGCTGGTAATTCTGGATGCGGACTAGGGCTAGATCTCGTTGTTCTTTGATCATATCTAGCCGATCTCTTAGCATTTCTTCATTGAGTTCTTCGTTATCCGGACAAAAAGTCCGACGGATGCTCGGTACCGATGCTTCAGCCGGGATAACAGCTTCCATGCCATAGGCTAGAGAGAAAGGTGTTTCTCCCGTAGCTCGATGGGGCGTAGTCCTACACGCCCAAAGTACCCCAGGTAGCTCGTCGCTCCACCGAGATTTCTTTGAATCCAGCCTCTTTTTGAGATTACTTAAGACTGTTTTGTTGGCAGCTTCCGCCTGTCCGTTACCTTGTGGGTATCGGGGCGTGGAAGATATGAGCTTGATTTTCCAAGTGTTACAGAACCTTGTGAATTTTCTTGAGATCAGGTTCGTCCCGTTGTCCGTTATGATCTCATAAGGGAGGCCGTGTCTGCAGACAATGTTTTTCCAGACAAAATTTTCGACTTCTGATCCGGTGATTTGCTGGTAAGCTCGAGCCTTTATCCATTTAGTGAAGTAGTCATTTAGGACGAGTAGGAAACGGACTCTAGCGCGTCCTGAGACCACCAGTGGTCCTACTACGTCCATTGACCATCTCATGAATGGGTAGGGTGCGGATATCGAAGATAGCTTTTCAGCTGGTTGATGGATCATTGGTGCGTGTCTTTGACATTTGTCGCACTTTGTGGCATAGTTTTCGCAGTCTGCAATGATAGTGGGCCAAAAATAGCCTTGTCTTTTGATGCGGACTGCCATAGCTTGTCCTCCGGAATGGCTTCCGCACATTCCTTCGTGCATTTCAGCCATAATTGTTAGGGCCTCGATACCGTGCACGCACAAGAGGTAAGGTTCTATCAAGCTACGCTTGTATAGTTTACCTTCCATTATGCAGTATCGAGCACTTTGAGCTTTTAATTTTCTTGCTGCCCATCTTTCGGTGGGAGCTATACCGTTCTGAATATACTCCATGATAGGAGTTCTCCAGTCCGGTCTGTTTAAGAACTCTTCGCAGTCATCCAGTTCAGGCTCGGGCTCTGGATGAGCAGACTGGTTCTCGGGATCGGGCGGTGCACTGATCGAGTTGTCGGGCTGGTTAGTCGTGGCTCCTGTCCCTGGTCTACGTTGACTACCTTGGGAGCTAGGTCGATGCTTGGTTTTTCGATTCCTTCTACGGGAATCACCCTCTTGACCATTGGGTCAGAGGTGGATGCTAGGGCTGCCAAGGCGTCGGCGGAGGTATTTTCCCCCCGAGGAATTTTGGTCAGCTCGAACGAGCTAAACTGATTTGCTATTTGGCGTACGATGTTTAAGTATGCTTCCAACCGTTCGTCTTTTGCTACGTAGTCGCCATGAAATTGGCTGGTTACGAGCTGAGAGTCGCTGAATGCGCTTATTTCTCGATTTTCGATCCCGAGGGCTAGCCTGAGACCGGCTATGAGGGCTTCGTACTCGGCCTCATTGTTGGAGGCCTGGAACCCTAGTCTGAAAGACTGTTCGAGGACTTCATTTTTTGGGGAAACCAGTTTGATTTCAACTCCTGATCCTTGTTTTGATGACGCTCCATCTATGTGGAGTGTCCACTTCTGGTTAGACGGTGATGCATCGTCGGGATCTGTTGTAAGCTCGATGCGAAGTCCGCTAAGACTTGGGCTTTCGCGCAGGTCCGGATTTTGTAATCTATATCATATTCGCTTAGCTCGATAGCCCACTTCGCAAGCCGTCCGGATTGGCTCGGACTGTGCAATATAGTGCGAAGGGGTTGGGAGGTCATCACTACTATGGAATGTGACTGACAATATGGTCGTAACTTTCTGGCGGACATTACGACCGCTAGAGCCAGTTTTTCCATAGCATGGTACCTTGTTTCGGCGTCTACTAGCATTTTGCTTACATAGTAGATGGGTTTCTGCTCGTTCTGTTCTTCTCGAACGAGCACGCCGCTTACTGCGGCTGGAGATACCGCTACGTAGAGATACAAAGGCTCTCCTTCGACTGGCTTGGCTAGTATGGGCGGTTCACTCAAGTATGCCTTGAGTTGTTTGAACGCTGTTTCACACTCATCGTTCCATTGGAACTTTTTGTTCCCTTTTAGTAGTTGGTAAAAGGGTAAGCATTTGTCAGTTGACCTCGAAATAAAACGGTTAAGGGCTGCTATTCGCCCTGTTAATCTTTGGACCTCCCTCGTGGTTTTGGGGGATAGCATTTCGAGGAAGGTTGCAATCTGTTTAGGATTTGCTTCTATTCCTCTTTCGGTTACGATGTAACCTAGGAATTCTCCAGATGGTACTCCGAACGAGCATTTGGTCGGATTGAGTTTCATTCCGTACTGATTTAGTATTGCGAAGCACTCTTTGAGCTGTGCAACATGGTCTTCTTCTTTCGAAGATTTAACGAGCATGTCGTCGATATAGACTTCCATGGTCTTACCGAGCTGTTTAGCAAACATTTTTTGACTAGGCGCTGGTAAGTAGCTCCCGCATTCTTTAGGCCGAATGGCATTACTTTGTAGCAATATGTGCCACGGTCTGTTATAAACGCAGTCTTTTCCTGATCTTCAGGGTTCATGAGTATTTGGTTGTACCCTGAGAAAGCATCCATGAAGGACAACAGTTCGTGTCCTGCTGTAGCTTCTACCAATCGATCTATGTGAGGGAGTGGGAAGCTGTCCTTCGGACATGCTTTGTTTAGGTCGGTGAAGTCTACACAGACTCTCCATTTTCCGTTTTTCTTTTTAACCACAACTGGATTGGCTAGCCAATCTGGGTACTTAACTTCCCTTATTGAGCCAACTTTTAGTAGCCGGTCCACCTCGTCGTTTACTGCTTTGGCTCGGTCTGGGCCGAGCTTGCGGCGTTTTTGTTTGACGGGTTTGAAGGTCGGGTTGACGTTCAGTTCGTGGGAAGTTATTTGCAGGTCAATCCCAGGCATGTCCTCTATGGACCATGCGAAGGTTGCAATATTCTCCTTGAGGAATTTTACGAGCTCGTCGCGGACAGAACTCGAGAGCTCCGATCCGATGTTGACTTCTCGGTCAGGGTGTTTTTCGTCAATGCAGATTGGGACGACGAGGTCCTTGCGTGGACCGCGAGTTGTGGGGTCGTTTCCCCGTTTTGCTCGCTGCTTGGCGAGCTCTTCTTGTTTCTGTAGTTGCTACAAAGGGGACTGTTCGATCTGCTTGTGTCCTGTCATGTAGCAAATTCTGGAAGCCCGTTGGCTTCCGTGGACTGTCTTGACTCCCTCGGCGGTTGGGAATTTCACGCATTGATAGTATGTGGAGGGTATTGCTCTCATATTATAGAGCCATGGCCTCCCCAAAATGGCATTGTAGGGAGCGGAGCGGTCTACAACCTCGAATACTGTTAGTTGTAGGACTCCGCCGGCTACTACCAGGAGCGTGATAGTGCCCATCGAATAGGTGGTTTCGCCTGCGAAGCCAGTTAGCGGCGATTTGGTGCCGCAGAGTATGTCGTCACCGAAACCCATTTGTTTGTACGCGTTATAAAATAACACATCGACCGAGCTCCCGGTATCGATCATAATCCTGGATAGCTCACACCCCCCTACGTCTAGACGAACTACTAGAGCGTCGTCGAGTGGTTTGTCTAGATCGAGTGTTTCACTTTCCAGGAAAACTACTTTGTGGTTGGGACCTTGTAGGGGAGCGCGCTCCCGCATATTGGTCTCGACCCTTCTTTGGTAGGCTTTTATCGAATTTACTGAATTTCGACAGTGTTTGGAGCCTCCCGATATGAAATTTATTCGTTTAGGCTTAGGTCGCTCGAAGAGTTCCAGGATTCCCTGAAATTTGGGAAGTTCTGGTTTTGCGGACTTGCGAGCTTCCACAAGCTGGTTGTTAGTTTGCGGTTTTGCATCCTTTTTGGGAGCGGGTGGAGGTGAGATCACCGACTTCATGGACCCTCCGCACCGAGTTATTCCCCTGAATATGAGATCTATTCTCTTTTTAGGGCCCGCAGGAGGAGAGCTTGGATTTTCATCTGTGGGAGCTCGATCTCTTTTCTTACTTGAAGTTTTTGAGTTTTCTGGCTCCTCGTTTTTCCCTGCGGGCTCCCCTTCTTGTTCCGCGGTCTTCGCGGCGAGTTTAGCCTTTTCGGCTAAGACTGTGCGGTATTCTTCTGTAGAATGCCCCTTCTTATTGTGATGAGTGCAGAATTTGTTCGCTTCATAGGTTGAATTTTTCTCTTTTTTCGACTCTTTTTTTGACGAGCTGTCGATTGTGAAAGTGTGTATCCCTTTACCACCGGGCTCCTTTTTGGCTGCCTTTTTGGTTGTGGCGGAGCTAGGTACTAATAAGCCTGCCTCGTACTGTTCTTGGAGGATGTTTTGTTCCTCCTCGTACTGGGCAAAGCTTGGGGCTCTATGGAGCGCGTCGTCTATTGTTTCTGGACAACGAACCGATAGTTCATGTCTGAAGGGTGAGTCGAACCATAATCCATGTTTGAGCGCAGAGAGTGCTACTCCCTCGTTCAAATCGGTTATCCTGGACTTAATTTCTTTAAACCTGGCCAAGTAAGCCCGCAGGGGCTCTTGGTGGTTCTGTCTGCATGTCCAGAGGTCGGCCTCTGTGGCCTTGGAGGTTATAAACACTGAGTAGTGTTTGAGGAAGACTGAGCCGAGCTCTTGGAAGTTGTATGGACCCTTCCTCTAGTCCGGCGAACCACTCTAGGGCGGATCCGACTAAGTTTTCGGCAAAGAGACGGCAGTAGCCTACTTCTTTTTCTTCGTCATTGAGATGTGCTCGGGCTACGGAGAGCCTAAAAGCTCGGAGGTGAGCTAAGGGATCTGCCGTTCCATTATATTCTGGGAATCGCATTTTCCCGGTGTCTTTGATCTTAGCGTTAGCTATGCGATCAGTGAAGGGAGTCCTTCTGGTTTCGTCCAACACGCGATCTATGTCTGGAGCCGCGCTTGTTGCTTTATGTACTGCGGTGTACATGCGTTTTAGCTCGGCGTTGTTTGCTTCGATGTATCGCTGGAGCGCGTCGAAGTTGTTTATAGATCGCGGGTCTATGATCTTTGGAGGATCCTCCGCGCTTCTTATTGCGCGCGTTCCCTTGTTGCTGACTTCCGGTTTGGAAAGTGTCGTCAGCAGCTCCTTCTTCGTTGGATCGCCTGTCTGTAGGCGGGTTAGCACGGTTCGTACTACGACCGTGTGATCCACGGAAGAGTGGTGGTGTTAATAGCGGGTCGTGGCGATTGTCGGCTGCCGGGGTTTCGCGCTCTGCTTGTCCGGATCCGAACACAGACAGGTGGTTGGTCACATAGCTGAACAAAGGAGCGTTGTTGCTCCGTGGTGGAGTAACGAACTGTGTGGTCGGATGGCCACGTGCGAGGTGTTCGAACTCCAAGCGAGTTGTTGGGAGTGGACTTGGTGTCGGATTCAGATCTTCCTCTTCAGATAGATCATCCGGGTCCTCATCATCGGTTGGAGCTGGCTGTGCCCGCTCCTTTCGGATGTTGGCTATTTCCTTCTCGTTTTGCACGAGGATAGCCCGTTGTTCGCGGGCTTGCTCGGCTAAGAAGGCTAACATCCTCCGAAATTCTGCCAGGTCATCTCCGGTTATCGTTTGGGACGATCCAGTCCGGGCTGGTTCGGTTAGGTCCGAGCTGGTGGATCCGGCCTGGGAGGTTCCAGATCTTGTCCAGGTCCGCGAGTACGTGTGTATTGGCGGTCTGGGATCCGAGCGAGACACCGCGGTTGTTCCGCCAGGTCGTGTCACGCTTGTGGTAGCAGTGTGAGTCGAGCTGGGTGTCGGATTTACGATGCTCGATTCACCTGTTTGCTTTTGGCGAGGTGAGCTCTGCGCTCCAGTGATTTCGACATCTCCAAGTCGGAGAGCCGATGTGCTGGGGTTTAGCGCGGGGCCAGAGCTTGTCTTTGGACCAGATGTTTCGGTATTTTTTGGATCCATTTCATTCTTACTTGTCTTTGAGATCTGTCTCAGGTGTAAGAATTTATTTGTTTCTTCCCCACAGACGGCGCCAAAATGTGGATCCTAAAATCCACACTCAGAGATTTAGTGTTTGGTTTAGTGAAGAAGATGATGGGCAAGAATTCTGACAGAGACTGATGTAAAATAAAAGACAAAGCTCGACGAATTGGATTGTATTGATAAAAAATAATGAGTTTACAAAGGAGTTTATAGCTGAAAATTAGATGATCTTTTACATGGAAACAATGTACTATTTATACTAGGTAGGTCGTTGCGAACTACTACGAGATTTCCGGGATGCCTCGATCTCCTCCTTTCCGAGATCTTCAGGATCTTCTCTTATCCACTCTTCCTTATCTTCGTAGCTTGCTGCGTCCTACCGAATATCCTTGCGAGATCCTCTTTTGGTTAAGTTTGCGGGCCTTAAAGCCCATAGACGCTTGTGCGATGATTTGTTTAAAACGTGGGCCGGATTTGGCTAAATCCAACACCAACAGTTATCTTCTCATTTGCTTGCGTCTTTGAATTTCTGTTGAGTCAATAAGAAGATGTCATCCAATTTTTTGGGAACCAACTTCTTCCACTTTCCCATTTTCTATTTTGTTTAGAAAGTATTCTTTTATTTGATTTGAAGTCTTAACAAGTCTCTATATATAAGTGAAAAAAAGAGGCAACCTGAGAGCAGCATACTTTGTGTCCACTCCACAGTCCACATAAAATATTTTCTTGTGTTCATGTGTTCATCATTTTGTATTGTTTAATGATCTAAATCAACATATTTGTGTCCACATAAAATTGGTTTAGTGAGAGTTAGATTTAAGTTGATTGATTGTAATGCAGAGAGATTTACCAAAGTTGGAAAGAGATTTTATTATTAAAAAATTAGTAAAAAATTAGTATAAAAACTTAAGAATCCAAAGCTAAAACTGTGAGAAACTATTTTTTGTGCAAAATTTGTGAAGAATTCATGTTCCATTAACACTAGATTTCAATAAAAGCTCAAACACAATAAAAATTTTCAGTAACAAGAGAATTGAAAAATTTTTAAACTAATAATATTGGATTTTACTAATTAATAGTCAGCGTTTTAAAAATCGGATTGTGTTTAACTATGAACCGGAAACAAGTACTTTTATTTTCTTCTAAACAGCATAACTATAGAATTGTTTTATTTGATATTTAGAATCTAATACTATTTAATTCATAGTAATAACCATTGAAATATATATAAATTTACAAAGTTGCCGCTGGAAAATCCGTCATGGCTACTGGAAAGCCATCCATGGCCATCAGAAACCGCCATCTGGATCCATATCATGATTTTTACATATTTTGGAACTTAGAAAATTTGAAGGCCGAAGACCCTAAATTTCTCATGGCAAAACTTTATGTGGCTATCGACACCTGCCTGCAAACTATCAACCCACAATACCGGCTTGCTCATCAAAAATTTGCTATTGGAAACTTAAATCTGTCATTTATTGCAAAGAATAGGCGGAAACTTGTAAGGGACGACTGGAAACTGATTGATGCTCCAAAGCGAACCAGGAGTTGCTTTACATGTGATCTTCCTCTTGACCCAAGTTTACCAAAGGTAGAGTATGAAAGATTATTTGATGTCGTGGATCACATAATAATCCAGCAAATGCTGAAGTTGGTGACCACCAATGGTCCACCGAGAAATATACTACTGGTTTTCGGAGATATTGATTTCAGTTCACCTATCAACATATTGGAACAACAAAGGTATAAAATGTTTCTTGCTCAAGACAAGATGCAAGTAAACAACTTACCTTGAGCCAAAACATTGTGGCATGGTATTGGATAAGATATTGCGTGCAAATACAATTCCATTTCATCTAGAAATATTTTGTAATATCTTACAAATTAAGATTTATTTCTATAAATATTTACTCAAATAATAATATAGAGACTCTTAAACCAATACAAATACAATCTATTTTTCTTTTAAGTTCTTTTAAAATCTATCTACCACCCATAAACAAAAGAATGGTACTCAAGCTAGCCAAGGAATCGTACAAGTTTTGATATATTGGTAGAAAAGCATATATGGCAGCTGATCAACTAGCTAAAGAAGCTAGAATTACTGTTAAAAAAAAATATGATAGAACTAATAAGAAAATCTGTGTTCATCTCTTGGATTTTTTGATGTTCTTTTGTAAAATATTTTCCAATAACCGAAAAAAAACAAAAAAAAATGGGCCTAAATTGGGTCTATTAAGACTCTAAGTCTAACGAAAAGGAATGGAAAAAAAAACATGGATCCGGTTAGTTGACTACTTCGTGTCCAATCAGTCTCGAATCTTAATTTACGCTTGTATCCAAACAGTGTTTAAGATTTTGAGTCTTGAGTAAAACAGAGACTTTTAGGGTTTCATCCAATCTCTTATAAATAAGCTTATCTTCCGCTCTACTAAAAACAGAGAATTTAGGGTAACAAAACAAATCTTCAATTTCCTCCGATTACTTCTTCTCGTTTCTCAATTCTTCTTCTTTCGCATTACTCCGTTTTCGCGAATTACTTTTGCTTTATTCGATTTTGGCTGAAGAATGTGATGAAAGTTGTCGATGTGTGATGATTCTTAAGATTCAACTGATCGATAAAATTTTCAACTCGCTACGTTCTTTCTGATTCTTCATCGTCTTTTATCTTTTCCAATTTCCAATTTTCGGGTTTGATTTTCAATTTTGCTAGAAAAAGTTCCTTCAAATTTCAAATTCAGTTTATTTTTGTAAAGATCAGATCTTGGAGAAATATGATGATAAATCAGAAAATATCTTAGGACACCTTCTGACGCAGTTTCTGCGTATGAGAAAGACTTCTTATTCTGATTCTCCAAATCATTTTTTGTTTTTCAAATCTTTAACAAGCTATGTTAATAACGTTTCGAACTTCTTATGAAAGAAATCATAGAATCTGAATCTAAGTTTGTAATTTAAAAGAATGTAATCAGAAATTTTGAAAGGAGAACATCAAAAATAGTGAATTATGACATATATGTATGCATATACACATCTCTATAATATAAGAAGAAATGTACATACATGTATGTACACAATGATGTTTTCATCAATGATGATGATTAGTCTGTATAAATGTTATACACATCTTTGTAATCACAGAGCTGAGCTTCTTACAAGCCAACCAATCCATTTAATCTCTATTACATATATTTCAAAATCTGAGAACCAGATAAAGCTCCCATCAGACTCTTCTTTGATACAACAAGACTCAAACTGGTTCTCTGTTTTTCTTTACCTCCGATAAAAGCTTCCCAGCAAAATAAATAAGCAAAGGGATTCAGTTTAGTGTCTGGATTGTTTTGCCTTCTGTCTGGTGAATTCTTGAAGCTGCCGATCATGTTCTTCCAGCATCTGATCCACTTTACTTGGCTGAGCCAGCAATGGACCCGACATGTACATTTTGTTATCTCCAGAATCATACTGTATGCAAACAAAACAGAGAAAGTAAAAAGACAGTTTCTTGTCTGAAAAAGGAAGGAATGAAAAAAAAAAGAATCTTTGAGAAAAACACTTACCCATGATGAATCATTTGGGGTTTTGATTTGTCTCTTACTGTAATCCATAGTATCAGCTCTGTTGAATGCTCTCAAATCCTTCGTTTGCTGATTCATGATCGGTTTATTATCTGAGTCTACATTTGTAGCATAACCGTTTTGTCCTGCTGAGTTTGCTCTGTACGAAGGTCTTCTAGGAGCTGCATTTTCCTTCACGTATGTTAACCGACTTTGATTCCGATTATTGTTCATCATCGGACCAGAGTGAGAGACTCTTCCACCACCACTCGTTGGATTGTTGCTGGTCATGTCCTTTGTAATCTGCATCTGTCTTGTTGAATTACCCGCCACACAGGTTCTTAGATAAGGATTCTGTATTAGCCAACAAGTTTTTGTTTTGTTTTATTGTTTTAGTTTAAAGATTCTGATTGATCAGAGGCAACAACACCGAACCATAGCAGATCAAGCCTTTCTATTACCTCCATAGCCGTTGTGACTGATTGATTAGCTTTAACCGGCGGGATAAGTTTTCTTTCGTGTGATCTTCTTGTCTGAGAGTCTTGCTTCTCCTGAGTGGTTCGTTGCCTTTTCGCATCATCTCGGATTTTAGCATCAATCTCTTTGCTTGGAGGATATTTTGGTAGAGAAGATGGATCACAAGCAAACGGCTCTGTTCTGAAATACTGCTCCACCACAATAACTATGTGTTATCATCAATCACAATGCTTGAATGATGACAAAACACAAAACCACATCAAAGATAAGTTTAAAGCAGCACCTCGCTATCAAGAGCTCTAGCTGCAGAGCCTCTCCGATCAGGATCTATAGAGAGTAAAGCCTCCAAAAGCGAAAGAACATTCGTTGGCAAATCCTTAAACATCTCTGCTACACGTCGTCCATAAGGAAGCGCAGGTCTAAACGCAGCTGAAGGTGGTAGCTTCAGTTTCCTCCAGTAATCTTCTGTTGGTGAACCACATAGCTTAAAGATCTTATGCAATTGCTCTACCTAGAAAAAGAATAACTTATAAGTCAGGTTTCTTTAGCTTAAAGGATGATGAGTTCAAGAGTGTATATACAGTACCTCGGTTTTCCCTGGCAAGATCGGTTTACCGGAATATAACTCGCCTAAGATACACCCTGTGCTCCACAAATCAACACCAACACCATAATGACAAGCTCCAAGAAGAAGCTCTGGTGGTCGATACCAAAGAGTCACAACACGGCTAGTCAAAGGAACGCAGTTTTGTGGGTCGAAAAACGTAGCTAACCCGAAATCTGCAATCTTCAAGATTCCATTACTATCAATCAGAAGATTCGATCCTTTTATATCACGATGCAGAACACCTCGACTGTGACAATGATCAAGCCCGCTTAGAAGCTGTTTCATGTAACATTTAACCTAAAAGCAGCAAGAAAGAACAAGTTGAGTTTTTGATACACTATGGAAAAATGGTAGCGAGTGTAAAAGAGTAGTACCTGAGGCTCAGAGAACTTGATACCGGGTATTGAAGCAAGCCCGACGAGATCATGATCCATGTACTCGAAAACCAAGTAAAGAGAAGACGAAACAGAGGCAGTGATCAAGCCTTCTAATTTAAGCACATTAGGATGATCAAGCCTCCTCATTACTATGATCTCTCTAGCCATAAACTTAACACTCTCTAAATCGCTAAGATCAAACCGGACTCGTTTAAGTGCAACGATCTTGTTGTTCACAAGATCACGAGCCTTGTACACACTGCTATACGTACCTTGTCCAATCTACATCACACACAAGAAGGAAACACTCATTACAACGAGTTTCATCATCAAATTGTAAAAAAGGCAAAAACTTTTCAAAACTTACTTTCTCCAATTTCTCAAAGGTACTAGCACGTCGTGGAGACCAACCAACGAGTGCTTCACCAGCCACTGAGACTAGCCAAGCAGGCCACTCTGTAGCGGCTTGTGCTTCCTCCTTCGGACGAACAACGACAGTACTAGGCTGTCTCTTCAATTCCTCAGGTCGAGTAGTGACTTCATCTTCTTCTTCTTCGTCTGTATCACCAATCTCTGAAATCTCCGGGTGTTTCTCGGAGAATCTACTGGAATTGAACTTTTCGGATTCGATTAACCGGACTTTCCGGTCTTGCTCGTCTTTGGTTTGGCTCGAATCATCGATCCTTGAAGAATTGATCCTCGAGGAACGCTTCTCTGATGATGATGATTCTTTACGGTGATGGGTTTTCTTTGGAGACTTCTTCTTAGAGATTATGCAACCCATGAGTTGTGAAAGAGAAGAGAATCAACCCCAATTCATTCACTTTAGAACCCTAATTCATCCATAGCAAACACAACTCCAATTTCACCATCAGAGTCAAAGCAAAACCCTTCAAAAACCAGAGAGCAGAGAAACAAAGAATCTGTTGTCAGATTCGAAGAATTTGAACTCAAATCCAAAGAGAAAAACTCCAAACCCAAAACCCAAGAAGACGGAATTGGAACTTGACCTTGGAGAATTTTCCAGAGCAAGTGGAGATGATGATGATGATTGATGATCGATGTAAAAGAAAAGACTTTATGGAATTAGAGAGATGGAGAAAGGTGTACGCAAAAAAAGCAGATTGGATTTTTTCTTTGTTTCAGATTGGTATCATTTGACCGAAGAAACACTGCATCGACACAGAGAGAGACAGAGAGAGCAAGAGAGAGAGAGAGAGAGAGGTGTTTATAAACAATGTATAGATATATTTGTATGTATATATATGTATAGACGTGTGATTGGTGTCTATGCAAACAGCTAGTAGTGTCTAACACAGCCGCCTCCGTCAACGGAGAGAGGTCTCTCTCTCATTTATTTTCTTGGGCTAAATTAGATTACATTTTCTTTTCTTTTCTTTTTTTGTTTTTGATGGATATGAGTTAAAATTAGTCAAATTGTTTAATTGACTTTTTGTTTCCATAGTTTAATTTGGTTTTTAACTTTTACTCATTTTATTTCCCTTTTTATTAAATGAGAATATGAGTTTCCATATTTTTAAAAATCAATTCTTAAGAAAAGAAAAATGATAGTTTTCATAATTTATAATAGAATAATAAATCAGGGTTAAAAAAACATTTTATACTTTGCTCAATAAACAGCTTTACTGTAGATATGCTTCGGTTTGGGCTTGGGTACGGCCTCACTTGCATCTGGAGTATGCAACTATGCATTAGCCACGTCTGTTATATTAGACTTCGGTTATTTCGATTTTACTTTTAAATTTAGTTAATGAAAATTCTGGTGAAATATGGTTCAGTTTGATTCAGTTTTTGGATCATCCGATTTTCCAAAGTTTTTTACTGAATTAACCAAACTATCTAGTTTTGGTGTTGAATTTCGATTAAAATAGGATAATTTTTGTAATTTTTAGTATAATCCGGTATATTTTGATATAAGTCCGTTTGGAAAAAAAAATCTATTATCAATCCAATTTTGAAAGTTGTCAATAGATTCAGACCTTCGGTTTACAGAAACCAAAACCAAAAAAATTGGATCGCATTGGTTTGGTTTGCTTGGCTCGGTTAAAATTTTCGAACATACTCATTCACCTCCACTTGCATATTTTTCTAATATTTGCTTTATATTTTGGCATACCTTGTTCATTGTTGGTCTTATTCGCCTTGATTCACTCTATTTACACATTAACTAGGCTTATGAACTAACAACGTTTGTTAGGCCGACGCTTCTTTCAAGTAGGCTTTAAGGGTATGGCATGTGTCCCTTCCTAATATCTTGTTTCATAAGTAACCAATGTTAAACCTATATAAATGCATTTAGTCTTAAGTATTAATTATATAGAAAAACATGTATGTATCTCATACTAGATAAATTTCTGGATTCTTTCCCTATCTAGGCGGGTATAAATATTCTACAACCTAGTCAATAAATTGTTGTTTTCTTGGAAATTCAAGCTGGGATATGATGTTGTATCTATTCTTTACAAGAACACAAAATGATGTTAAGTATTCAAGAACACAAAATGATGTTAAGTAATCTTCTATAGATATTTAGAACTTTCTCCCACCAAAGATACAAAGGAAGTCAAGTACGTTTAAAATTTTTGAACGATTTAAAATGTTACATACTCTTTTGATGAATAAGTATAAGTGTCTATTCAAATTGCAAAGAAAAAAATGAAAATTTTTTATGTTATAAATATTCTTGACAAATTGGATAACATCTTTTTCGTAATTAAGAACTAGTTTTTCAAACTTGAGACTTTTTTAATATCTTCAAATTAAGAAAATAGGAACTTGAATCAAGGAATAATTATACCAAAAAAATTCATGTCAAATATATTTGTAATAATGCTTCTGATTGACTTGACATTTTGTGTTTTGATTTTTATGTTGAAAAAAAGGAGAGACAACAACATGCAACGCAAGAGAAACTTAAAAGCCTTAATAATTTATTTAAGCACCAACCATACGGTCCCCCCAATTGATTATTAATCATCTTGAAAGAAAAAACAACCACACTTTAATTTTCTCTAAAGCCCTTACAGTTTTAAAAGTTTTTTTTGCCAATCAAAGCCTTAATTAATTTCATGATATCTTGATTTATTTAATTTGAAGGTCCGTTGATAACAGTGCACTTCAACGGTGTTTGCTCCTGCTCTCGCTGCTGTACATCCTGCATGCAACAATAATAATAACCAAAAAGTCCAAAACTATTATCAAACCTTAAACTTACCATTATAAAAATGTATTATCAAACCGAATCGAACTCAAACCAAAATACAAATGGTTTTTATTGGTTTCAATTTTGATAAAGCCATGAAACCGAAACCAACCGTAAATCGAACTATCCACTCCTACAAAACTGTATATATTACTTATTTCTTGCTTGTACAATAATCAAGATCACTAACAAATTGAATTTAAATATGAAAAAAGGTTGATGTAATTAGTTACCAGTCATAAACCGTGGGAGAATTAGGATGAGAAGGTTTGTCAAAGACATTAGCACCAATCTCCCTTGTGGTCACATTACTTGCCGGATGAAACACACTCCTCCACACATCCACTTTCCGGCCAGATCCTGGTGTCACCGGAGTAGCCGGACTCGCCGGAAGAGACCCCGATCCTCCCACCGTTGTTCCTAAGAACCACATGTAAAATTCCGATTAGAGAACAATATACATGCAAAGGGTTGTACATATGGTAGAATTGTGCATTACTCTGATTTTTTTTTTAACACATTCCGCTAGAAAATAAAAAGGGAATTGTTAACAAATTTTTAATAAATGATCTTCTACTATAGTCGGAACAAAATTATTCATCTATCATCCTTATTAAATTCACATGTTTCTGTTAATTCCTCTTAATGTTTACTATTTAAACCTATAATGTCATTCTCAAATCTGAAATATTTCGGTTTACCTTTCGTATTGTCCAAGCTGGTCAAGCCGGTGGAGATTCGCCGGAGATGGCCACGGCCACGGGCTTCAGGTTGAGGACCAGCCACGACGTCGTCCCACAGGTTTTCAAGTATACCCATTTTCTATTTTGCTTAGAGAGATCTTCTTTAATTGTCCCTCCTTTAAATACATAACACGATCGGTTCGGTTTGAATTGATCCGGTTTAGGAGATTCAGCTCATCTCTTTTGTTTATTGAAATGTTAAATTATGAGAAGTGAACCTTAACAAATCTTTTTTGTTGATAGCTTTCTTGCAAGAATTGAAACGAGAAAACCGGTATCCAAATCAAAACCAAATCGGTATGACCGGTTTAACTAACCATTATAACTTTGGACACGTGACCGATCAGTTCAGAGAGCAAATTTGGGACTTCGGAGCTAGTCTCTTGCAAAACTTTGTCCGTTTCCTTTGGAGATAAGATTGAAGCTTTCAAGAATGTAAAATTTTCGCTTTAAATTCTCGTCTAAACGCACTAAAGCCTGCTTTTTCAATTAAATATTTTGATCCTGGGGTCAGAAACACAATTTTCCTCTCTCAACTTAATCAGTAAGCTCTCAATCTTCTGAAAACATTACCCTCTATCTTTAGAGAAATGTATATTAAATATTAAACAAAGGGTAAGAGAAATAAAATATACGTATAACGCTAAATCAAATGAGAATCTAATTTGGAGATAGAGAACAAAAGACTCAATTCGAGCAAAACAGAGGAGACAGAGCTTTACAGAGACGATACCACATAAAGGCCTTTTACTTGGGCACGAAGAAACCAGTCAAATATTTACTTATTTTTTTGTGACCATGATCATTTATACTAAAGATTAATCTCGTATAAAATAAAATAAAAAGCGTAAGATTTAGACTTTGACGATTCACATGATCGTCTCTTTACAGATCAATCTCAAAACCTAGAAGAGTGACTGTAAAAAGTTTAAAAACCATGCTATCAAAGTTCTGAAACAAAACATTATAACAAACAGAGAGCAACTCTTTTGACTTAGTTAAAAACAACACAGATGCTTAGTGAACTTAGAACCTCTTGAAATCATCATCGTCTCTCCGATTTTCCTTTGCCTTTTTCGACAAATCTTCCAAGCCTTTATCAACATCATCCCGGGCCTTATCTGCCTCCTCACCGGACCCAACCACCGCCTCAGTCACTTTCTGAGCCGTGCTCTTTGCAGTCTCCCATGCATCTTTCACAGTCTCCATAGTCTTCTCCCCAACATCTTGAACCTTTTCCTTAAGCCCATGAGCCATATCATCAGCTCTCTCCTTTGAGTCCCCTGGATATTCCTTGGCTCTGTCTTTAGTCTCTTCCGCTTTATCTGCGGCTCTATTTGCACCTTCATTCACCTTATCCTTAGTCTCTTTCGCATAATCTTTTGTCTTCTCTTTCACATCATACGCTTTGTCCTTGGCTTTCTCTTTCGTCTCATACGCTTTGTCAGCTGCTCTGCTCGCTCCTTCGTTCACTTTATCCTTTGCTTGTTCTGCATAATCTTTTGTCTTCTCTTTCACATCATAAGCTTTTTCCTTTGCCTTCTCTTTCGTCTCGTAGGCTTTATCAGCTGCTTTGCTCGCTCCTTCGTTTACTTTATCCTTAGTTTGCTCAGCATAATTTTTCGTCTTCTCTTTTACATCATAAGCTTTGTCCTTAGCACTCTCTTTTGTCTCGTAAGCTTTGTCAGCTGCTCTGCTCGCTCCTTCATTCACTTTATCCTTAGTTTGTTCTGCATAGTCTTTCGTCTTCTCTTTCATATCATAAGCTTTGTCTTTAGCATTCTCTTTGCCTGCCTCTGAGTATCCAGATTCTTCTCTCCATTTCTTAGACTCATAAGCCAAATCAGCCCTTGAATCTCTTGCATTCTCTATCGGATCATTTCTTCCCTGAGAAAAAAGAATCATTGCTCATTCTTTAAGCTAGGTTTAAAATTCCACTTGATTTATTGTCACACACGTTAACCTAATACCAGCTTGATATATCTCCAAGTTTCTCAAACTATAGTCTTGTGTAAATCTTATATTAAAGACTTGTTTGATACTGTAACAAAAAAAAAAAAAATCCTAACTTCTGATCACTCGTAAAAGTTTTAACTTCCACTTGACTACTTGTCACACACGTTAATCTAATAGACTAATACCAGCTTTTCAAAGTATTAGATTTTTTGTGTAGATCTTATATCAAAGATAAATTGTCTCAGAAATTCTTATAGATTTGTTTTCTGAAATTCCAATTTACATACGAAATATTAATAGAAATATTACTCACTACAATTTACATAAAATAAGATAAAAATTTTACGTTAGTAAAATAGTTTTTGAAAATCGGAATCTGGTTCATGAATTTTACACATACGCTTAAAAACCAGTTATGTTGCATAATTAAATTACCTGAGAATGGTTAACCGACGAGGCAAAAAAGACACGAGAGCTTTTCCGACCACTCACCACCGCAAGAGTTCTTGGAGGAGCTCGGCTTTTAGGGAAAGCCTTGAAAAGACCGAAAAAAGCTGATCTCGTTAGTTGCATAGCCGCCATGTTTGTCAATCAAAGTAACAATCACTTCTTCTTCTTCTTTATAATTTCTCTTGCGAAAATGTTTTCTCGTCGAATGTTTCACTTCTTTTTTGTCATCTCTCTACGTTGCAAACTTATAGAGCCACCAAGGACAGCTAGCAGCAAGAATTTTGGACACGTATTGATGTTATGACACGTGTTTAACAGCTTTGCGTTCTCTTCGCTTTGACTGATTTTTTCGGACCACTAAAGTTTGTTCCGTACCAAATTTGCAAATATTATTTGTGGTGGGGAGGGAGAATACAATTATATAGATAGTTATGGGGTCTCTTCTAATTTGACACAGGATTTGAGACAAAGAGGAAGAAATTTTCTCTGTATTTTACTTTGAACAATGTGTACAAGTAATATATGCTTATGTTACCAAAAAAAAAAAATGAGTAATATATGCCAACTACATTAACCAATTTCCTAAACGGAAAGAGCAAATAAGAACAAATTACTTGGACGCGAAGAAACTAGTCGAGAGTAAATGAGAAAGATATTGTATCATAGACATTATTCCAAAATTGGCTGTCAAAAAAAAAAAGACATTATTCCAAAATTATCCTCGTCAAGTTGTAGCATAGAGAGTGGCAGAGATCAGTAATGCCTAACTTGTAGGTAAACAATTTGAGTTCCTATAACGCATTTAAGGCTTTAGTAAAGATGTCGGCAAGCTGTGTGCATTGGTAGAGATATGTTAATGTGAAGTCTTGACATTGCCACTAAGTATATCGTCCTGAATGAAGTGGCAATCCGTTTCGATATGTTTAGTTCTTTGGTGAATAACAGGATTGGCACCAATAATTAAAAAGGATATTTGCGTGAACACCTTGTGATTTTGAAGAAGATATTTTAGTAAGAACCAGATTGGGAGATAAAATTTTTACAAAAACATGTTTTCTTTGCCTTCAAATCTGTTCTCCTTTCCAACCTTGAATATCAGTGCCGTGCGAAGATCTATTTAAGGCAAATTTTAAAAATACATATATATTATAATATTTTAACAATAATGATATAAATTATATTAAAAATTATAAATAAATTCTAAGTTTTTGAAAAATCTCTTAGATAAATGTTATATATCTTTTTCTTCTACAAACAATAAATTCTTAAAAACTTAAGAAAGAATTAAACTTATAACATAGAAAAACAAAAATAGAAAACTGTTCTTAAAAATAATTATTAAAATCATTCAAATTTTAGTTAGAATATAAATTTAATTTAAAAAGTATCTATTGTAAGTGGAAGTGAAGCTTGAATAGCTGAATTCATGTGCATATCAAATTAGGAGGAGACATTAACCACTACAACATAAAAGATATTTTGATATTTTGTATTTAAGGGCCCTAAAATTAATTATATTATTTGGAGGTTTGAGGCAAATGTCTTTTTCAATACACTATAAACACAGCTTTGCTAATAAGTTATATATCATCCCTTTCAGCATTGCTTTCACAAGTGAGAAATTAAAATCAGCTTCAAATGGCATACACAACGAGGGCAAGAAACAAAGCTTGTTGATTTGTGTTTACAAGACAATCAAACTGTCTTTCATATGACGGCCTTTCAAGAGTAACTGCAGAGGAGTTGTCTTCATCAAACATGTAGATTCAGAATCTTTTTCTCTTCTTCAAACAGTGTACTTTGAAACAAATATGTGGCCACAATAAGAGCCTCTAAAACAGCTAAATGGCTGGCCCTAGCAGCGACAAGGAATCAGTTCAATTCCAATAGAAGATGGACATTCAAAGACAATGCTTTTTTTACAGCTTCAAGATGACCAGAAGAAGCAGCAGAAGCAAGATGAAGATCAGAATCTCCTCCATCGCTCTTGAGACATGCCTTTGAAGTTGCTCCGTAGCTTCTCTAAACTTCTCCAGGCAGTTGCTGAGCTAAAGATCTCAGGATTCATTGCAATACTCTGAGTTTGATAGAGAAATCTGCCACAGCTATTGCTAATCTAGCTCCTCTGGCTTGAAGGGAATCTCTTTAAACTGAGTGAGCGTAAGCTAATCAGACACACCTGTCTGTACCTCAATTCTATCTAGACAAGCTTCAGAATTGTCCATCTAAAAATTCTGAATCATCATACAAATTGTTTTGGGTATAGAAAGTTTCAGTTACTTAACCATACAAAGAAGAGATAGGCTTACAAAACGTAAGAAAGAGATCAGAAATGCAAGAGGATTTGCTACAGCTTTACGATAGTGGTCCATTATCTAAATTAAATGCATATGCATGCAGAGAGATCACTGTGAGTTTATAATAAAAGTCAATGCAGAAACTTTTTGCACCTCTCTGTTTATTATTCATTATTACTCCAATTCGTCCCTGTCAAAAACTTCTTATATTTAGATACAAATCCTTGTATTATATCATTCTTTTTTAATTATTTCCACATCTGATATTGTTTGGTCTACCCCGAACTATGTTAGACTTAGACCGTATATTGATGAGGGTAGTAGTGGCTACTACATAATGGAATCATCAACAACTTACCGTTTTATAAGTTTTGAGATAATAATTACCCGTTTTGTCCACGTCTTTGGTATGATGATACCATGCATATATGATCAATTATTTATTTCCAGTTTTAGTTTGTTGTTTGTCACTTGAAATCCAACGACTATTCTCTTATAAAAATCATATGTTGAACTCGTCAATAATAAATTAACAAAATATATCTAGAGACTCATTCCCAAATCGAGCAAAATAGAGGCGAAAGTATAAACTCGTGAACATAAAGAAAAGATAGGCCCCGAATATTTTCCGGAACTAAACCATGCTATATTATAGTAAAGCTTTAAAACGACGTCATATTAAGTGTGTGTGAGATGATGATGGGCTCATCAGGGCTAATTATGGATATGTTAGAGAACCCCATTAAGCCCATCTTGCTGTCATTTTCCAAAATTTAGGGGTTTCTACAAAACATTAAACTCTCTATCTCTCTCTCATCTTATCTTTTCTCTGATAGACCCGATCTCAAAACACTCCATCCACCACCGTCGCGGCGGCGGATCTACTAAGCAGATCCATTTCTCCTCTTTCACAAAGGGTCTCGTACACCGTTAAGATCTTATCTTTCACCGCAGGCCTTGATCGAGTCAAGAACATGAGCTTCATTGTCAAGAATGCTATTGTGGATCGGTTTACTCTTGGGAGGAGAAATGAGCCACTGTTCGATCCTAGTGCTTCTCGATCGGTTTACTCGTGGGAGGAGAGATGGGCCAGTGCTCGATCTAGTGCTTGGGAGGAGAGATTCTCGATCGGGTTTACTCTTGGGACGAGAGATGGGCCACAGCTCGATCGGTATAATCTTGGGCAGCTGGGGCGGTTTAATGGGTCTACAGTAGGCCTCTTGGGCAGGTAATCATCTCAAGGCCGATTCAAACATTGTCATTGCTGGTCTACTGTAGCATTCCGTAGGTAGCATATGTAGGTGATTTTTAGTCTGCTCCAAGTTTTCAAAAATATCTATTTCGAATTGTTTGTTAGAAAACCAGAGCCAATCTTAAAAGTTTCATAGCGTCTGTTTTTTCCCTCTCATCCTTCTACTGCTGATTTTTTTCCTTCAATTCTCTTCAATGGCAGAAATCCAGAAGATATCTTCTCCTCTAGAAGAAAGACTTCTGGAGCAAGTTTCAGGAAGAAGCAAAAGCTGATCTCTCTCTTGAGTAAGTTACTTTGATCTATCTAAATAGATATATCTCTCTCTGGGAATGTAAATCTCTCTCTCTCAGTATGTGAATCTCTCTCTGTATATGTAAATCTCTCTCTATAGGATTCTGGATGGTGCAAAAGATAATCTCATTTCTTTCTGCGCCAATTTCCACGATGAGAGATTTCCCACCGACTAAGTTCATGTCTCTCGTGCTAGTTGTTATAGCTTTGGAAGTTCATCTATGTAGATCTCTCTCACTCTCTTTCTCTCCGCATGTTAGCATCGATGTGATTTGAATTTATATTTCCTAGTATGATTTGATAATATTAGCTAATTTATCTCAGAGTATGATTTAGTTTCATTGTTCTCGATCGTAAATGTGTTGTCCTCTCTCTCTCTCTCTCTGAATTGGAATAGACATGTAAATATGACATGATCTCTCTCTCGTTGGAATTGATTTCTTAGTATGATTTGAGAATATTAGCTAATTGATCTCTCAGTATGATTTGGTTTCATTGTTCCCGATCGTAAATGTGTTGTAACTTCATTATTGCTAGTTGCTATAGCTTTGGAAGTTCATCTATCTAGTTTATTTTTCTTATATAATAACGTCTTTTATTCTTTTGGATGTGATTGACACCTTATTATATCATATCACTAATAACGTTTTTATTACTCCATTACAGATTCATGAGTAACTTCATTAAAAAGCTTGAAGCTGCACAAGGCCAACAAGATCCCAAAGCCATAATGAACAAGCATTTCAAAGATGTTAAGGAGAAGATGAAGAAAAAGGCAAGAGGCAAACAGAGAGCCAGAGATGATGCGGCGGAAAAAGCAAAGTTGGAAGAGGAGAAGTCGGAAAAAGCTTCTCAGAGAGCCGCCTTAGTAGCATCTCCGACTGTTGAAGAGAATTTGGAGGCTTTGCGGAAGACGAGAGAGAAGAGTCAAGAGGTTGAGAAGAAACTTAAGGAAGAGAAATCAATGGATTTGAAGATTGCTAAAGCTAAAGAGGACCGTCAAAAGAAACGAGTTGTATCTGGAAACAGACTCAAAGGGTGCAAGTAAGTTAACTTATTATCATATGCTAAATTTGCTTCGTAATGAAATCATTAAATTTTTTCTTTTTTTTTTTTTTGTTAGGATTGACGGTGAGTCTATCAGAGGACATAAAGGAGGCAACAGGAGCACATGAAATGTTCAATTCGACTGGTTTAGGAGATTGAGCTCATATCCCTTTTGTTTATTCAAATGTGAAAACATAAGAACTGAACCTTTAACAATTTGTGTTTTGTTGATAGCTTTCTTGCAAGTTAGGAAATATGGACTAAATGGAATCTACTTTTGCCCCTAGCTTTCTTTTTGCCAGCCAGTGAATATTCTCCGGATTCCTCCCTTCATTTTCCTACCGGATTATTTCTTCCCTGGGAAAAAAACCATTAATCATTTCTTTAAAGTTTTATTTCCACCTGATTTCTTGTCACACACGATAACCTAGTGTAAGGGGACCACTCGTAACACTTGATAGTTCTTGTCACAAACGTTAACCTAGTACCAACTTGCAAATGCAAAACGCACGAGCTTGTCAAACTATATTAAAAGTGTTGTGTTAATCTTATACTAATGATTTATTTGACATTTCTAAGAAAATCATGTTGCTATATATATATATATAGATTGGAATCATTATTTTACATATAAATTAAAAAAAAGTTCTTGTAAATAATTTTGTTTTTGAAAATCGGAATCAAAGAACTAGTAAATTTTTGACACAAGTTTAAAAGCCGGTTATGCAACGATTAAATTACCAGAGAATGGTTTACCGAGACGAGGCAAAAAAGACAACCAATATATTACCATCCCAAGAGTTCTCGGAGCAGCTCGGGAAAGCCTTGCATAGCCACCCAAAATGGTTGTTCTTCTTCTTCTTCTTCTAAATTTAGCTTCTTCTTCTTCTTCTTCTTCTTCTTCTTCTTCTTCTTCTTCTTCTTCTTCTTCTTCTTCTTCTTCTTCTTCTTCTAAATTTAACTTTCGAAAATGTATATCTCGTCTGAATATATTTTCACCCGTCTTTCACTACTTATTGCATTTGTCCATACGTGGTATACATATATATAGAGCCACTAAGGCCAGCTGGCAGCACAAATTTGACACGTGCAGATGTAAATTTTTAAGGGAAAGCTTCCATTACATGATGCCATGCAAATAATATTTATGATTTTTTATATGTTGTGATTGTGTGACTATTACACCATTATCTCCATCTCTGTTTAACTTGATACAAAGAATACACCCTTCTCCCGCCAAGTTCACATTAAATAGAGAAGAATATTTTATTTACTCAAGTAAATCATTATTTATGCCATTTATTTGTTCATTAATCAGAAACATAGCTCGAAACTCACAAGATGTATTTACAGTGCTAATGAAAAATTGGTGTGATAAAGTAGCATTTTTTTTTAGTTGAACAAAAGCTGAGAAACAGTTGAAATCCTAGGAATATTTCTCAACTCGTAGATGATCAATTCTTGCTCTTCAAGATCGTGTCTCAGAGAGATTGTCGCAGACTTTAAACACTTTGAGTTAGCAAGGATGTATGTCAAGATTTTTTCCTCTTCTACTCTGTCTCCATATCCTCTCCACTCAAATATTTCGAGCTGTGACATCAAGCATTTTGGAACAGAACTCGGTTGGTTCCATGAAAGTGGGGCATCCTCGGACTCGGAATATTCATATGTATCCTGCAAAGCAACGAGAACGCTATATATTAAGCACATTCTAACAAGTTTTTCTTAATTAGTCCACTAGTACTAGCTAAAAGAGGAGGACACGTCACACATACATAATCAACCATAAGATCTCTTAGTTTTGGAGCATTTCCAAGTAAAAGCATTAGTGGTTCCGACCAATCTAATTCCTCTGGATGTATTGCTAACTTTACAAGTCGAGAGAAGTTGATGGCTTTGCAACACACAAGCTGCAATGAAACAAACATGCCGTTCGTGAGTAGATGCAACGTTTCCGAACTTAACTTAACATATCTATACACAACATTACAATTTTGGGAGAGCACGGAACCACACCCCACCAGTGCTTCTGTTTTAATATAATAGATGCCTACTATTAGAGAGTTTGTTAGAGAGAGATTTATATATTTTTTTTCTTTTTGAAGATACATTATTTTA